TTCATGGTACCACAAGATTGTTGGTTTAGGTTCAGAGTGTTTAAAAATCAGGTTTTCTCTGAGGTTTGAAGAAATAAATCTTTGCCAGCTGTGAGTTGATTAAAACCCCTGAAATAGACCTCTGATCTAAACAGACTGAAAATTCCAGGGGCCATGGATGTATAGTATATAACTTGGAAGGGTAAATTTTACTTAGGTTTGTTCTAGAAGTTTTATCACTCTGTTGAACCATTTGCACTGGTATTATAGTTGGGTAACTGGTGTTCAACATATGCTAGCATCTTGAAACTTTAGAGCTGGAAGCAGCCCTTCAGATCCAGCCCACTTGTCTAGGAAACTGATGCCCAGAGAAATTAAGAGACTTGACTGAAGCCACATGGTTCACTGGTAACACACCAGGGAAAGATCACTGAGATGCTAATTACATCCCTGCCATCTTGTTTTTCAGTACGGTCAAATTTGTGCAAAATTTTGATTTATATGTGACCTTTCTAGGACTCATTTTGTGAGTGTGTTTGCCCTATATCATCTGTATAAAAGAACACCATTAATTATTTATGGATATGCTGTCTTTAATGTTTTCTGTAGTGATGGTAAAAGTGCCCCCAAAACCGTTCCATTCATTCCATTCAGCTTGCAAATAGCCTTTAATGGCTTTTTAGTCTTCTGTCTTAGAAGAAGACAGAATTCTACTAATTTTTTTTTGTCATAATATAACTTTTATTTATCCAAGTGTTTACAAATAGATCCTTTTAACATTGATTAATTGATTGAAATGATTTGAATTCATGTTTCTAAATGATGGCTGAAGATTTCTTTAAAGGCTATCTAGTTAATATGTCCACTCTTTAATCACATAATTTTTATTATGTATTTTTAATTAGTAAGAAATTGTTGTTAAATTGCAGTTACAGATTTGAAAGCATTTTTAATAAACCAAACAGTCTCCTTTTTTTCTGTCTGTATAGTTTTATTTATTGAGGTAGAGAATTGGTGTTAAAGGAATGATGGTAAAATTTTGCCAGTTTTGTTTGAATTACAGATTTGACTTAGCAGATACTCATTACCTGCTCTGAGTCAGGCAATGGGTTTAGTTAGTCCTGGGGAGTCACTGGGGTATAAGACACAGTCTCTTCTGAGAGTGACAGTCACAGATATTCCTTACTCTCATACAGGATGCTATAAACAGAGCATTGTGAAAATTAGGGGCAGAATCAGCAGGGAAAGACTTCCCAGAAGAGGTGACATTCAGGTTGGGCCTGGCAAGGTAAATGGGAAAAGGAGATGGTATGTTGAAGTTACTGTGAACATTATATTGCAAGAACAGAGGGTGTGGAAGTCTGTGATTTGTTTGGGGAATTTGCACATAGTCCATATGACTAAAATATAGATGCTGAAGATGAGTGGAAATAATTTTGCATGTCAGTTATTAAGAATCTTACATCCCGTTCCAATTTGGGGCTTTGCCTTGGTTTAATATGCCACCAAAGGTTTTAAGCAGTGGATTAATGAGACTTCATTACTGCTTTGTTTGGAAGATGCAAACTCAGATATCTTGAGGGATCAGGCAGGTAATGTATTTGTGAAGCTGCCAAATGTAGGGTAGCAGTAAATGGTTAGGCCCATAGGACTGATTAGGCCTTGCCTAAAACCTTTCTCATACAAGAACACTGTCTGCCAAGTCAAACAGAATAGTGACCAAATCCAGCCTGAAGTTAGACCCCCTGTGCTGAGCTATTCCTGAAAACTTTTTGGAGGCAGTTATACAATGTTCCATATTCAGTAGGTTGATGGGGTTTGTCAAATAAATGGATGGATTGAAGGATAGGATGTGTGTGTTGTATGCAAGAGATTCATTAGGAGGCTATTCAGATAATTCAAGCAAAAGGTGATAATGTTTAAAACACAAAATTGAGAAAGGAGAGCATAGGTGGATGTGAGAAATACTGAAATAGTGGTAGAATCAACAGGATTTGATTATACTAGTTACATATGATGAGAGGGAAGAATTAAAATAGACGTTTTGATATTTTCAGCTTGGATTGAATGGGTGGTGAAGATATGAATCAAAAGAGAGTACTTTGATAGCTCAGTTGGTAGAGAGGATAGCTGTAGATGTGGAGACTAGGCATCCTTACATTGCTGGTTTGAGTCGAGCTTGAATCAAAAGAACATGGCAGAAGGAACAATTCTGGGAGAAGATACTAGTGTGTTTTAATGGGGGGGTGGGTAGGATGATGAATTATTTAATTATTTCTAAGCACTAAGGTATATCATAGCTGTTCTTTTTGGGGAGTCTCTAGCTTTCATTCTTATTTTCATTCACTCATTCACTTATTATTTTTTGGCCAGAAATTGTTCCAGAATAATTTTTTTAGGGAAAAATCTCAGTCCTGCCTTAAAGTATTTCCTTCACCTGTATCTGTGGACTGTGGCTGTTTTTCAGGCATAAATCCTGGTTAGAGATCTTAATTTTTCTAGTAAGGAATCAATCTCACACTGTTGATTATCAAATAATATAGTTTTGTTCACTCTCAGTTTTTGCTAGAAAATATAATCTCTAATGCCTGACTTAATCAAAACTGTGCTTATGATACATAGAATTTGTGGCAAATAGTCTAATTCCTTTGGATATTTGGACCTTTGTGTGCTTGAGACCATCCAAAACCAGGTACTTGTATTATTACTGGTTTTACTTTTTTGACAAGCTGCTTTATATCCATCTATGTATCTGTATCTGTGTATACCACATCACTCTGGTGTTACCTTCTCAGCTTGCACTAGAAGGCCCTATAAGAAGCAAATGCAAGGAATCCATGAATCCACTACTGTATATTCTGTAAGGGACTTGCGCTTTGGATAATGAAAAGTCATTGTCCCTTTTATCAAGACTGGCAAATTTTTCTCTCAGAACTTAATGCCAGGAAAAATTATTTTGTCTCTTTGTTTGTTTTTTTTTTCCCTTCAGTTACTGGTATGTTTTGATATTATGGACACTGAATTTTGTAGTGTGGCTCTCCCTATTTGCTTTGAGAGTCAAATAGGACTTTGAGAGTCAAATAGGACAAATTTATAATCAGATAACAGTTGTAAAAACCTTGTATAATTTTGGTGTACTAAACTACATTTTCCACTTGTTCTTACTATTTTAGTAATTTTTTGCCTTTATCTTGTTAAAAGTTTTCTCTGCAATTTTATTGATTTTGTTAGATGTCACAGATTTCTTTTCAGTAATGAGATATTATAATTCAAATAATGCCAGTCTGTTTCTTGTCTCTCTTTTTTTTTTTTTTTCAAACTGACCTAGAGAGAAATAAAGGGAACAAAATCAGGTTCCATCACTTATCCTAAGTGTGTAACTCAATACATTTTTGTATAGTGAATATAGTTGTGTAATTACCTCCTAGAAATAGAATATTTCTGGTACCCGAGAAACTTCCTTCATGCCCCATCCCAGTCATTATTCTACCAGGGTAACCACTGTTCTGGGTACCAGGGTAAACATCTGTCATTAGGTTAATTTTGTCTATTTTGAACTTTGTGTAAGTGGAATCTACGATACGTATTTTTATACTGACTTATTTTGCCCAATATCATATCTTTGAGGTTCAGTTGATACATTTTTATTGCTATAGTATTTCATCATATAAATATATCACGCTTTATCCATTTAATTTTTCATAGACAGTTTTGTTGCTTCAAGTGTGTGTTGAGTTTCAGTAGATGTTACAGCTTTCCAAAGCGGTCATTGTCAGTTTCTCCTTCTTCCATCATTGAACTGAGTGTTTGATTTGCTCTGTATCCTTGCCAACATTTATTGATCTGTATCTGCCAACATTTGTTGATGTCATTTTTAATAAAAAAAATATATTTTTAGTCATTCTGTTTGTTACGGTGTCTTAATGTAGTTTTAATGTGCATTTCCTGAATGACTAATTGAAGTTCCTGTTTACATTTCACCCTTGAAAGCATGGGGGTTAGATGTGCTGACCCCATGTACAGTCAAAAACCCCCATATAACTTCTGACTGCCCCAAAACTTAACTACCCTACTGTTGACCAGAAGCCTTACCAATAATGTAAACAGTTGATTAACACATATTCTGTAGGTTATATGTATTAAATACTTAACAATAAAGTAAGCTAGAAAAGAGAAAATGTTATTAAGAAAATCATAAGGAAGAGAAAGTACATTTACACTACTGTTCTGTGCTTATTGAAAAAAACACCCACATGCAAGGGCTAACTGTGTATGATTTCATAGATCTCCTTTGCCAGTTCTATTTGTTCAAGTCTTTTTTCCTTTATTTTTGTTCTGTTGATCTGTTTAATGTATCCTGTGTCAGTACCACACCATCTTTATAATAAGCCATTGCCTATTTTAGTATATATTTCCTCCAACATTGTTCTTCAAGATATTCTTGACTATTAACGGCCCTTTGAGTTTTCACATAAATTTTAGAAGCAGCTTATCAGTTTCCACAAACAAAATTTTGATTAGAATTTCAGTTATTCTAGGAGATTATTTTGGTGAGAACTGGTATTTTAACTATATTGAAGATTTTAGTCTCTTTACAAGGTATATACCTCCATGTATGTAAAGACTTTTTTATTTTGGCTCAATTATAAATTGTGTATTAGATTTATGTATTTGGTTTTTTGAAATGGTATTTTAAAAAATTTCATTGTCTAATGCTTTATTTTTAATAGATATAAATTAATTTTATTTTTGAAATTTTACTTTTTATCTATAGTCTACTTTTTATCTTTGAAACTTGGTATCATTTTAAAATTCTTAAATTCTTAGTTTATCTGTAGATTCTTTACGAATTTCTACCCACACAATCCTGTTGCTGCTAGTAGTGACTTTCTGTTTCTTTTCCTTTTATTTACATACTGTTGATCTGTGAATTTATCATTTTTTTCAGCCAGCATGTATTTAATTAGCACTTGATTTGTCTGTTTTTAGATAGAAACAGCTAACTCTGTTTTATTTAATAGTGAACTGAATTCAAAGCTGCAAGATACTTTAGAACAAATTGAGGTAAGAAGGATTACCATAAGTTAAATGGCTTTTTCTACTCAGAGGTTCTTGAGTAGCAAAGATGCATTTTATGTTTTGACTTTCATGTTACTACCAAAGTTCTAGATTACTATACTTTATTTGTTGTTTTTCACCTGGAATATCTGTGCATGGTCAAGTTAATGTTAATCTATTTTAAATTCAATAATACTTTTGCAATTACAAAATCTGAGGACAGTATTTGAAAATATTACTGTATCCAGAAAGATCCCCAAGTACCTAGTCATAGGTATGTTCTCATGTAATATAGCCAAAATACTTCTACCAAATGGTAATTACATTTTGACTATCAACTACTCCTTTTTAGTTTAGTGAGTTAATTTATTTAATAATAATTATTAGGTGATGAAAACCATCCTGAATTCCTAAACTGCATAATAGTGTTTTATACAATTCATCAGAAATGTAGAAACTGGAAAGGAGGTGAGCATGAAATCTTGCTTTTTCTCCTACATTTATTCTGAATTCATTTCTTTCCTTGGCATTTTAGCAAAGCAATGTATTCATTTTAATAAATTTAATAAGAATTATTTGGTTTCTTCTGGTATTTTATTTTATTCTTTTCCTGGTAAGAGTACTTACAAAAGTTGCGGCTGGACTCTAGTGACCCTCTGTGAAGGTAGTTTTGATTATAAATGCACTTATTTACTAGTTGTAAGAATGACAATATTTGGTAAACCTAAAGATAAACTGCTTTGAAAATCCCTTAAGTAAATAAACACCTGAATATTTTTAATGAGGACTTTTAAAAAAACTCAATACTTCTTTACTCTAAATAAACAGCATTGTTCTGTAATTATATAGAATATCATTATTTTAAAATAAAATCATTGAAATAAAAATCTATAAAGTTGGTGCATGTAGATACAAAAGTCAATGTAGTTCTGTTGAGAATATTATTCAGGGATTACAGAAGGATTGCTTTATTTTTCAATAGTTCTCCAAATTCAGTTCATATAACTAAGTTTTAGCAGATACTGGAGGAAACAGAAATACAAAAATTCCTTTATTAACTGTTATTCTTACTTTGTGTCCCTTTGAAGCATGAGGCATGAGTTTTTGGAAACTCACATATTAATAGCATCTTAGTAAACTTGATTATAATTGGTAAAATGTGAGTTTTATTTATACTTAGATTTTTTTGAATATTAAATCCAGTGTGATAGTAAATGTGTTTAGATATTAATTAAAAGTGAGAAATTAATATTAATATTTTCTTCTCATTGCCTTGAAAACATAATTCCTTAACCACCTCTTGCCTCTTCTTTTAATTGTATAGGAACAGTTGGATGTAGCTCTTTCCAAAATCTGCAAGAATTTTGACATTAACCATTACACTAAGGTTCAACAAGCTTATCGACTTCTTGGAAAAACACAGGTTAGTTTTGAAAGGATGTTTGCTTTTTTCTTAGTCATGAGTCTTTTGATCTTCATAATTGCTTAAGTCTGAATATTGCTAATGTAGTGTCCTTAAAAAGTTTCATTTGATGGAGTTTTTATGCTATATTAATAGTAGTAACATGATTGTTCACAGTTTCAGAGTGTGTGCAGTGTGATTAAAACATTAGAGAAGGTTGTTTTGAACTATGAAAAGTTTGTCAGGTTTAATATTTTCACAATTTTAAATGCAAATTTAAAAAAATTTAAGATAATTCAGTGCGAGAGGATATGTAGTCCTTTGCTTCGGCTCAAAGCCTGAATGAGAACTTACTAATTTGGGGCTTCATGGTTCCTAGATGGGCTGGGATGACTTCCTTAAAGTGGTATGTAAAAACTGTGTGTTGTGTACATTTGTCTGCAAAATAGTTCCGTTGCATTTATAGATTTTTTCAAAGGATTATACTATCCCTGGAATGTCCTCAGCTACTTACACAATGCATGATTCTTGCTGCTTTGGGGCTTCCTTGAAAAACATGAAATAGGGGCCATGGTTTGAAAGTTAATTGTACCTTTTACATGTATGGGATTATATATTTATCTATAAAACATCTAAACCTGATAAGCATGTTTTTTTCCCTTAAATGGTTTCCTGTCTTTAAGACATTACCAAACTATTTAAACTATTTATATTTTCAAATCTGCATAAAGTAATTTGGTTGTTTATTGTACTTTATTAGTTTTCATGTCTAAGCTATACCTAGGGAAAAATACAAGAAGGAAGACATTTGGTAATTTTGAGGGACCTGTTTAAAGACTTTTAAAATATGATTATAACTTTTGGTTTTCTCCATTATCTGAATTCTTTCACTCCCTAAATATTGATTAGTACCCGCTATATGCATTGCCCTAGGCATCTGTATATAGGCCCTCATATATCTTCTAATGAGGGAGATAAACAAACAGTAAAAAATAAATATGATATAAGGTAGTAAGAATGTACTATAAAGAAATCTCTATCAGAGTAAGTGGGTAGAGTGATGGAAAGAACTGATTTAAGATAGTCAGTAAAGGGTTCTCTGAGAAGGGGACTATTGAGAAGCATCTTGAACAATGTCAGAGAATGACGGCAGAGGGGTCCAAAGGTGTGGTTATGCATGACATGTTTGAGAAAGAGCAGGATGGGTCTCAATCATAATTAGAGAGCAGCAGAGCAGTGTTCGTGATTCAGATTTATCTTTAGCATTAATTATGTTATAGTTATTTAAAGGGTTATTTGTAAGTAATCATACAATTATAATTCTGTGAATAATAGTGATCTTTGTGCTGTAGCTGTAATTGGTAAAGATTTTTCTTATGTTTTTTCAAATTTGTTGAAATTTATTTGTTTTAATAACATGAAATTATGTTGTATGTTTTCTCTTTCCATAGACAGCAATGGATCAACTTCATATGCACTTCACCCAAGCCATTCATAATACCGTGTTTCAGGTTGTTCTTGGTTATGTGGAACTGTGTGCAGGAAACACAGATACAAAATTCCAAAAGCTGCAGTATAAGGATCTCTGTACAGTATGTAGTAACTTTATTACTGTTCATATGTCTCTTAATTTTAAAATTCGTATCCATTTTTCTTAGCACCTACTGTTTGATTATGCTATTAAAATAAAAGCAAATTATTTTTGCCCAAAGTTTTTTCTCTCCCATATTATTCTGTTCCTTATAGAGAAACAGGAAGATTCAGTCACACAGATAGTAACGCTTGATAAGATGGTACAGGTTTGTGCAGTACAGTTGCTTACAAATGGACTCTACCCAAATCTAGCTTCTTTCACCCTTTTCTCTCAGGCTCTTAATTCTTTTCTGTGGTTGCATTGAAGGGGCTTCTAGGCACCTTCTTGCTGTTTTTCTGTTCCCACTTTCAGTCTGTCTTTTTGTGTGTATAATGCTGTTTCTGCAGCATCTGTAACCAATTTTTCTTTTTTCATTTTGAGGAAACATAGGTCTGTAGGTACTATAACCACAGGTGAGAAGTGAACTGAGTCAGGCTGTTTTAGAATTGATCCTGCTGATAGATTGATGTAGAGTATGAGGAAAACAACGATGAACAGCTAGGAGAAGGATGGTGCCATTTGCTTTTACAAGGCATACTGATCTACAGGGGAAAAACATGAATTCTGTTTGATACCTCTTAACATTCAAGTGGATTTGTAGAGGCAGCATTTGGATATAAGAATCTGAGGAGATGAGAGCTAAGGATACAGCTTTGGAAGTCATCAGCATCTGATTATGTTTAAAACCATGATACTGGAAAGAAGATTGGGTAAATGGGTATAGATAGGGAAGGCATGAGGGCCCTGGGCCTTGTGACATTCAGAAATTAAATGGGGGAGGAGAGACCAGTATAAGAGTCTAAGTAAGAACAGCTAGCTGGGTGGGAAGAAAATAGGGGATGGTGGCTTTACAATATCCACAGAAGGTAGTGTTTCAAGAAGAATCAACCGTAAGCCTATGTCACATGTTTCTCAGAGTCTGAATAAAGGGATATCACAGAATTGAGCACTTGATTTGACAATATGGAGATCATTGTTGACTTTGATGTCTTTACTTTTAGCCCCAAAATGTTCCATGTCTCTCACTGGAGACTTCTTTTTGCTAATGTCAACTCAGAAAATAATAGTTCTAGGAAGTGGATATCTATTCTTTATTGTAATATACCCAGGAATTAGTGTGAAAGTAGCTAATCATCCTTCTTCAGTGAGTTTATTTGTTGAAAGTTCTGGCTTATATGTCCATTGGGAACAGTAGAAATACTCTTAGTTGAGCTACAACAAATATTATGGAAGAATGTGATTATATATTACTGATTAAGGATTAAGTTAATGATCACAGTGGATGGTGGTTAATATAGCTAAACAGTATATTTTAAAAATCACTTCATAAATCAGGACTCTCACAGATTTTATGATTCTGAACATCAAGTATGATATAATTGAATAATTATATTTTTAAATATCCAGTTTTAAGTACAGCCATCACTTGATAAATTTCAATGATTTTTGAAATGTATTGTTTCATACTTGTGTATTTTCTTGGGTTAGTATATATTTTTAAGTTAAATATATAAACTTTCTTTAGTGTTGCTGTCATTAACAGTTAATTTAAGTGGTAAAACAGTTTATTGCAAGTTAGTGATTTTTTCTGTTAAAGCAGAAGATAACTTTTAATAATTAAAACATTTAGACAAAATAGGCTTTTGTCCTACAATCTTCTTTACTTTGGTTAAAGTTGAGGTGTTTGTGTATGTGTGTAGTGTGTTTTGTTACTGTAAACTTTTATATGTTCTTTAAAAGGCAAAAAATATTTGTGCTCATGCTTCTTGAGAAAGTCCTCTTTATTTACATAATATAAAGCTAAAGTTGTATTTAGCTTATAAATTTTTATGAACAAAAATTTGTGCATAAGGTGTTTATCATAGCATTATTTATTTACTTATTGGAATTTCTTTCACTTTTTTCTTAAAGCTGATTGTAAATAACCTGAAATAATTGTGTTTATTTAAATTATCCAGTAACAAAGGGCTTATCTTTCTTGATTTCATCTCAAGTAAATTCTTGTTAAAATTACTCCCAGTAAACATTTTGTACTTCTTTATAAAATCATTCATAATGTGTAATAGTAGGTGAGGTACAAATAATTAAATTAAGGACACCAATGCATTATTAGTATACCAGACCATAGTCATAGAAAACACCCCCCACACACACCCACACACAGAACAGCAGACACATATATACTTATTTATCCAACACAGTTGTACAATTCTTGTTTACATTCAAGCTGTACCGAACCTTAGTTGAAGTAGTTTTGGTTTGAAGTGGTAAGAGTAGTAGCAAACGTTGATGATGGCCTCATGGAGAAATTTCTTCTGAGGAGAGGTTTTAACAGAATTAACTATGGTAGATTCTTTATGTTGAAAGAATAGATTTAGAGGAGCTGCATAATGAGGTGAACAGTGTGATGCATTTTAAGGTGGCCTATTTTCTTTGGTTCTCTTCTGGATTAAAATATTAAGGAAGTTCAGAAATGACCCAGGTCTCTTAGAAGTATTTAAGTCACTCATAGTCACTGTTACAGGCTAACAGATGTGCACATCCCTGTGAAACCTAAGTTTTACTGTATTTTATAATGATTTATTTTATAATATTGAGTCATATTTGACATGTTTCAACTAGGTAAGATTAGGAAGAAGTTATTTCTTATCAGATTTCTTTAATTTATTTTGATGAAAGATGTGAACTTTTTGTAACTGAGCTGTAAATGAAGGTGGTTAGCTCAGGAGAGGACAAGTGGAGGGAACTTTTAGAAGTTTAATAAATAAGCAGATGGAAGGAAATGTAAATATGTTTTCCTGGTGAGAGTATATATTAAGGATCTGGAATGTCTCAACTCAGGCAAAAATGTAATTCTTGAAGGAGCTTGAATTAGAATGTAAGGTTCTGAGTTTTTCAATGTGCGGCAACTGGGTATCATTTTAGCCCTGATTAAAAATAACTGATAATAATTATTGAGGATGTCCTAGCATGAGAGCCTCTGTGACAATGGAATGTCAGCTAAGAAAGAAGCAACAGAATCACTGGGAGATACTGCATAGAGTGTTGAGTGTTGATTGGTGGATTTTGGAAGTGGAAAGAAAAAACCCAGGCATTTGGGCAGTTGGTTTCCTCTGTACAGCAGCAGTATTTTGAAGGAAGTCTTCAAGCATAGACAGAGTTTAAATACAACATTAAAAAATGAAATGATAATATGGTACACTGACCAGAGTTGTGAGAGGGATGGAGTTCCTATAAATGGGAAACACTTGTTTCCTTTAAATGGAAAGAGATTGGAAATGAACAAATACAATCATCTGCATGTTATTACTCATAGTAATATTTTAAACCACTTGCAGATATCTATTACTAAATGGGTTAGTATGAAATTGAATGAATTATTTTTTGTATATCCCTTTACAGATAGAGCTGGGGCAAAATTAGTGTTCTGATTTTATTTACTCTGGTAAGCAGAGAATTTCAAAGTTCTCAGGCCCAGCGGCATCCGTTCCTATCATGAAATTGTGGCTGCTACTTGTGTCCTCTCACCATTGCTCTGTGTTTCAAAGTTTAGTTGGCTCTGAGCTTTTTGAAATCATTTTGCAATTGAATATACTTGCTTTTCTTTCTTTACTAAACTATATGTTCTAAATGATTTAATTAGAAACAACTTTCTTTGTACAGTTTTATTTTTCAGTTTGGTTTCCCTGTTTTTCTTCACTGTACTGGTTTACAGTTTTTAGATCAGCAATTTAAGTTCTTTTTAGAACGAGTACATAATTTTGAAGCTCAAATAAATGACTAATCCTCAGCAGCAAAATTTTCAAATGACAAGTAAACCTCATTTCTGGATGGGGCCAATGTAAAAGGACATAGTAATCATTTTATTTTCCCTAAAGATGTACCTTACATGTTTTACCAGTTTGTGGAGAGATTTTAAAGACACCAAGTAAAAGCTCTTTTTTTAGGGACCTTGTAGAGAAACCCTTTGCACATTATTTGAAAGTGTATGAAGTATGCATCACTAAAAAAATTTTTCAACATTTCTTTGGTAACTTGAGTTTCCCTGGGGAGGTTATTTTAAGATGCTAGATAGGATGTTATTGATGAACTTTATGATAATAGAGCTGGCTAAGCTGGTTGAGTTTTCCCAGCCATTTTTCAATCATTCATTTCCAAATGATCTTAATGAGTTTTGAGTTTTTTAAGTTCTGTTTTTGAAATAACTTGAAAATATTGGAATACTTTGGGGAAATTTGTAGTTTTTCTTTTAGGAAAATCTTTCTGAAATTATTTCAATATGTGTTTTTTCAAGAGTGTGGCACACTGGAGATATTTTGTAATGTTTTTGACTAAATTATATTTTCCTCTCTGTCTCTGATTGCTGTGGTGTTGACACATTTCAAATTTAAGTTAAGCAAGAGGAAAAGAAAACAAGCAGGAGCACCTTCTCTGTACTATGTATTTTCACAGGTTCTTTATATGCATCCATCATAAAAAGACAGACTAAAGCCTGGTTTAATATTCTATTCTTCTCTGCTTTAAAATTTTTCTTCTTGCAAGTAGTGTCTCTTGGTTTTGAATTATAATTCAATGTCAGCTTTTGGAGGTCAATAGATAACTTTAGTAAGATCTCTGTTGAAGATACAGTTTATTTTGATGTTTGTATAGAAACCGAAAGACAAATCCCTCTTTTGAGTCAGAAATGTGTTTCTGTTCTAAATTCTCAGGGTACTTTGTTGTGAAGAATTAATATATTTTCTCTTATCAAGTAGTGTGAGAGTATACAACTCTCTGCTAAGATGATAAGCTGCCTGAAAATTCAGAGCTAAACTTAATATTCATATGTGGCAACCATCTTGTTTTGGGTTTTCTATAGAATTAGCTGTCTCATTATCCTTTCTTCTGTTTTCTGACTCAAACTAGTGTTATGTGTTTGCATATCACTCATTGTCTTTACAGTTAGATAATATAGATTAT